AAGGATTTTTTTAGTACTTTTTGAAGTTTGAGGGTAGTTTTAGTCCAAAAATGAAAGTTGAGGGACTGAATCGGGGATATAACCAATTTATAACTATTAAAATAAAATAAAATTAATATTTTTAGAATCAAGACTCTGTGGACTTGACATTTTTCCGTGTCGACGTAACGACACCACTACTCGCAAATAGCAATGCGATGTCAGACAAATTATTAGTCAACGACGTGCTAAGTGCGTAGATCTTTTAATTTTTCAAGGTACAATCAGTGATCGAACGAGAAAGCTGCTCTATCATCGGCTGTGTCGCGCGTGTCCACTGGAAAAAGTTAACAGACGGCTCCAACGATCGTAGTTTAATTTTGTTTTTTTATATAGACTACCGATATTCGAAAACTCAGGGAATTATCAACTAATTCATATTTGAGTCAGGCAGATCCAACAATAGTAGTTTAATGATTAGATAGAAGTTAACATTCACCATGAGGTGAAAATTAGATCGAACGATCGAGTCATCACAATCAATAAAATCTCTTATCATTTCTTTTTCATATCTTCTCGATCTCTCTTTGAAGTTTGATCTTTCCCTTCCATTTTCCTCTCACTTTCTCGGAAACCATATATGATCACTGGATCGTCTATAAATAAGGCACTCTTAGGACTTAACTGGCACTCCATCAAGGTACTGAAGCAGAGCAACGCTTGGAAGCTTTGGTCTGAATTTGTTCTCACTCAATTGTGAAATCTTCACTTTTTGATATATTAAAGATACTTAATTATGGCACCAGTCGCAGCCAGGAGAGCCCATAATCCAATTGAGCAAACAGCTTCAACATCTGTGATGCAGAGGGAGAAGGTAATATTGTTTTAATTTATTAATATGATCAATCCAGTTTCTTTCTTCTTGTCATTCCTCGGAGTAAGTTTATGACTGGAAAATAACCCTACGTACTGATTAATTACTTGTATCTTAATAGAAAATAAAGATGGATAAGAAGATCAATAAGACCATGAAAAGGTTAAAAGTGGATATCGCAAAAATAAGCAAGGATCAAAGAAGCATAAGAGAGGAGCAAAGGAAAATCAGAGAAAAGTTGGAAGAAATTGGAAGCCAATGTGCACAACTTAGGGAGGAGACTGAGTTGATTTTCAAACAGAAGGCAGGGAATCAAGTTCTCCTCATCCTTGTTTTCCAAATTATCAAGGCAAGACAAGGTAGAGACTTTGGAAAGGCCGCCTCCCTCGCCTGCACCCTACGGTTTGTGTTCTCAAACCATTTGTTTTATGCTCGAGTTATATCTAGCTAAAACTAGCATTTTTGTTTTTTTTTTTGTTGTCCGTTTGGACTGAACTTCTGTTTTACCTATGTATATATGAATCATGATTTAGTTTTCTTCTTTTATTTTTCCTTTTATTATTCCTTTTGCAGTGATTTAATAGCGAACCAAAAGGGAAAATGCATGCTTATGGCAGGCCCTAAATGCGAGTGAAAGATGAACGGCAATCACCAGCTTGAGATTGTGGGTTCAGAGTCCGCTGTATACTCTAAATAAATAAAGATTTCTTTGCTATTCCAAAAAAAAAAAGGGATGGAAAAGAAATAGAGCGCTTTGTCAATTAATTATTTTCCCGTTTTCAATATGTGAGTTGAAATGAATGTAAAAATAATAACGAATTAATTTGAATTCTCATCTAAGACCGAAAGAATATGTTAGTAGTATAATTCAACAAGAAGGACATGGACGGCCTGCTGACATTGACTTACGAACTCCACATTAATTTATAACTAATTTTTACGGTTTTAAATAGGTAATTAATGAGCGATAAAAATCGAGCCAAGCGTGATTGGAACGTCAAAATTTTTTTGGTAAAAATTTATTTTTAATTTTTTACCTTAATAAATTTGTAGATTTAACCTTTATTTTATATTATAATATATTTTTTTAACATATCACTTTATACTATAATACTTTTAACTCATCATATATACGAATTAAAAAAAATAGTTATCATTTAACATCATATTATAACATTTTGTTAATTCTGATTCTATCAACTAACTATTAAGCCTGTTAGTTGACTGTTAATTTTGTCAGTTGACTATTAGTATATATTAGAATTCCGTTATAAAAAAATATGAAATTTAAATTTAATTTAATTTGTTAGTTTTATTAACGGAATGTTAACGGAACGCTAATAGTCAATTAATAAAGTTAACATTCAGTTAACAAAACTAATAAAATGTTATAACCTGAGTTTAAATAAGGGTTATTTTCTTCAATTTGTACAAGTAAGAGGTTAAAAGTGTCATAGTATAAAATGATGGATTAAAACTTAGAAACTTATTAAATTAAAGGATTAAAAATATCATGTTAAAAGGTAAAAAGTTAAAACTTATAAATTTATTAAGATAAAGGGTTAAAAGTATATTTTAACCAAATATTTGAATGTTCAACTCAAATTTAATAAAAAAAAGTGAGAACTGAGTTTCTTAGTACGAATTATATATTTTTTTTCAATTTATATATTAAAATTAAAAAAAGTTATTAATGAATAAATATGAGGGGTAATTTTATCAAGTGTATTTTAATAATTTTAATATTTAAACAAAAAAAATGCAATTCATACTAAAAATCATTTTTTTAGAAAAATAATTATATATATTTAGAAAAGGAATTTATTTACACATCAAATTTTACCCATTGTATTTACCTTAAATTTTAACTATTTATCTTTTCATTTTTAATA